GCCCGCCTGTACTTGACAGCACGGTGTCTTGAGCACGCAAAGGCGGGTTGGATTGGGCATGCTAAGTTCGTTCAGTTGCGGCAGTTTTGTAATTGGCAATGCGGGTGCTTTTGAGTGGAAGTTGTCGACGCTATCCGCGCAGGTTGGAGATGAGCACTATGTCGCCATGCGCAGGAGCTTGCTGCGCCCGACTGATGGCGGCTTTCAACAGGTATCTGACCCACGCCGGGATCTCACTCCGGAGGTACTTCGTCACTTGATCACCATCGGCACGTCCCTGGACGAGAAAAAGATTGCGGCTGCCCTGATGGCCATAGGCGCGCCACACCCTCTGCACTCGGATCCGCAGGCGCTGCTCCGGGCAGCCTGCAGGTGGTCGTTGGTTTCGGCGGGACCTGCAGCTGCGAGCATGTGGAAACAGGCGGCCGGCGTCCCTGTCACGTGTCTGAGTGTAGCAGTTTTTGGCTCGCTAGTAGACCCTGGGCAGTTTTTGCATGTCTATCCATCAGTGCTCCTCTTTTGATAAAGCTGTGTTAAACTTTGTTTGGACCTTAGGCCCCTTCGGCAAATCACACTCGTGCAGTATGCCACTTCTGCTCCGCATTTTGCGTGGGCGGAAGCTGCGAGCATGTCTATAGCGCCCTCCACTACTTGAACATTGAGAACTTCGACCAGCTGTTGGCGAAGCCTTTGCCGCGTCGCTGCAGGAGGAAGACGTCAGAGAAGCAATCCACGGGGCAGAAAGGTCCAGGCGGGATGTGAAAATATATGCATCCGCGTGGAGCACGTTGTTTGCGTTGCTGTTGCTGTTTGACACAGACAGTGTCCCCGTCCAGAGCATGGTAAATATGTACCGTCGTTGCTGTTGTTCTTCTTCTTCTCTCCACGGGGGGTTAGAGCTTTGTATAGACTGTCTTTGATCCTTCCGAGGCGATGCTGCGGCCTCGGAGGCCCATCTCCCAGAGGCAGATCCGGTCGCCGCAGAGACGAAAGGCAGCACAACCCAGGCTTTCCGAGACATCACAGAAAAAGAAATCGCTAGGACGATCAAGATGTACGAGTTTTTTGAATGGAGTGCGGAGCAGCGGAGAAAATCCCGCCTGTCTCGCTGACCAACTGTGTGCCACATCATGGGCGGAAGGAAAGAGCCGGAGCTTCACGCATGTCTAAGCCCTTTTTGGGTTGTTTTGGTCATACCATGGCAACACATGTTTTGCCACACTTTGTGACAAGCAAAAAGAATGGTCTTCCCCAAAAACAACCAAGAGGAAGTAATTGTCTCTGACCGCAGCTCTTCGGCTGGCTGGGGTTCGGTCGGTTTTGGTATTAAAAATGGAGTGAGTTACACCTTTCATTTACGTCAGTCGCTTACATGTTTATGTTGGTAGCGGGCCAACTCCGCCTCACTTTCTCTTCTTCATACTGTGGCCTGCCATGGACCTCACTCGTTGGCAGGTGTCTTTGTGTTTGGCATATATTTTACTTCTCAGGATGGTCGGCTGCACGTTTTTCCACCAGCATCAGATTCTATGTCAGTTTTTTCAGGTACGAGCTGAGTTTTTAGACGATGCTATGAAGGTACTATTGGATGCAAGCGCGCCTTTTTGGGTGGCGCAAGCCGTGCTGAATGACGTGAAAGATGGCTTACCTTTTCGGAGGCTGCCGTCCGTGCTTTCGGTTGTGCAGGCTTTCTGGCTGTCGTGGCGTCGCAGGCATGCACTTCCGGCACATGTGCTCGCAGCAGCTGGTTTGTTCGAACGTCGGTTGTCTCTTCGGCAAAATATGATGATTCCTGCTTCGGAAATCTATGATCTCTTCAACTCCATACATCGCGTGACAGAATGGTCTGAAGAGGAGGTGAATAGAGCGTTGGCAGATGAGAGAGCTATGGAGGTTGAATGTCAACCTGCGGTATGTCCTCCATCACCCAGAGCTACGGCGGTGGAACGTTGTCCTGCGGCATGCCCTCCATCACCTGTAAGTGTGTCAACCCCGACGGAGCGCAGGTTTTTTGTGCAGAGTGCAGTGGACGCTAAGTATGGAGGGATCAGTCCCATAGATGGTGCTGAGTCTCCTCCCCATTTGCGCTACAAAAAGTGGTTCCTTCGAGAAATCTACGTGGATCCTGACGTCGAGGTCCCGGAGATTCCGACCAGTCCTGGGTCAGAGGTGGATGCGATTTCAGAGGATGCTGTTGCCCCTGCTTCCACCGACTCCATGTCCATGTCCTCCCGAGCTCAGCGATTTCAGGACCGTCGTTGTTTTTGCTTCCCATAAGCATGAAGCTTTTGTTCTTTAAGACTTTCTTTTTTCCTTTGATGATGCTCTGTATGTGTTACCACCGTCAGTGCTCCGTGCCTCGCACAGGCGCACTTTCAGCAGAGACGGGATTTCATTGATGAGATGTCCGCGCAGTCCGTCCCCGTGTTTCACAAAGGGCAGCAGAAATTCAAATGGGGTGGATGTCGTGACCACCCTCAGCGGTCTTTGCAGCCGCACCTGAATCGGAGTGGTCGTGTCAGTGGTGGCCAATTGCGCTTAAGGTGCAGCGCATGGTTTGGCTCCAGCTGCGATGAGAAATGTTGGTACTCGCATCCGTTTCCAATGGCTTTGTTTTCGAAGTTGCCTGAGCAGATCCGGAAGGATTACAATTCGTTAGAACAAGCTCTCCGTCGAGGTGCTCTCCGTTGATGGACTCTTCCCACCGGCACGTGCGAAAACAGTTTGCTGCTCGCTGATCCCTATCCGTGTATATGCAGTAGATTATCAGTGTTTTCTCCCACAGATATCCTGCAAACCCTTGGGTGCATCTTCTATTCTGAGGTGATAGCTACCCATGAGGCACTTGCATTGACGTCTATATGATGAGCACGCTTGAACACGTGATCAACATTGGGTGGGGCATGTCAACACGTTCGCGTCGGTTTTGTCCACTTTAGACCGGATTCTTGTTTGTGCTTCCATGAGCCCTTGAGTTTTGCTGCTACGTTGCCCAGCAAGAGGTTTTGCAAGTCGCTCATCAGATAGCCTCGAAAAACCCTAAGACCTAAACCCTTATTGACTGGTTGTGACACTGACAGCACCTGCAACCGGAGTCTGGATCAAGTGATTTAGGTTTTGGGATGTGTGGTTGTTGTGCCGCACCTTTTTGTGAAGTTGTTTGGGTTGTTTGATGCTTATCCAGACTCAAAAAGAGAATACGCAATGCGGTTCCCAGGTGCTATTACCTGTTAAGCACGACCCCCAATGAAACCAAACAAGACCACATGTGATGCGGTATCATCCCCCCACCCAGCTTCCCGCCCCCACCCAAGCCATGTTATTTTGTAATCCGGTAGAAGAGTTGAGCGGGTGTGCTTATCATCCCCCCACCCAGCCCCCCTCCCCAGAGCCATGTTACTTTGTAATCCGGTAAAGGAGCAGGCTGGTCTGCAGCAGTTGAGCGGGTGTGCTTATCATGCCCCCCCCCCCCCCACCCCCTCCCCAGAGCCATGTTACTTTGTAATCCGGTAAAGGAGCAGGCTGGTCTGCAGCTGTTGAGCGGGTGTGCTTATCATGCCCCCCCCCCCCACCCCCTCCCCAGAGCCATGTTACTTTGTAATCCGGTAAAGGAGCAGGCTGGTCTGCAGCAGTTGAGCGGGTGTGCTTATCATCCCCCCCCCCCCCACCCCCTCCCCAGAGCCATGTTACTTTGTAATCCGGTAAAGGAGCAGGCTGGTCTGCAGCAGTTGAGCGGGTGTGCTTATCATCCCCCCCCACCCCCTCCCCAGAGCCATGTTACTTTGTAATCCGGTAAAGGAGCAGGCTGGTCTGCAGCAGTTGAGCGGGTGTGCTTATCATCCCCCCCCCACCCCACCCCCCAGAGCCATGTTACTTTGTAATCCGGTAAAGGAGCCGGCTGTCTGCAGCAGTTGAGCGGGTGTGCTTATCATGCCCCCCCCCCCCCTCCCCAGAGCCATGTTAAATCAAAGGAGCAGGCTGGTCTGCAGCCGGTGTGCTTATCATGCCCCCACCCCCACCCCCTCCCCAGAGCCATGTTACTTTGTAATGCGGTAAAGGAGCAGGCTGGTCTGCAGCTGTTGAGCGGGTGTGCTTATCATCCCCCCCCCACCCCTCCCCAGAGCCATGTTACTTTGTAATCCGGTAAAGGAGCAGGCTGGTCTGCAGCTGTTGAGCGGGTGTGCTTATCATCCCCCCACCCACCCCATCCCCATCATCAATGAATGTGATCCCTAAGTGATCCGTGAATGTGATCCTCAAGTGAGCGTGTATCCCTAAGTGACCGTGATCCCTAAGTGATCCGTTTGCGCGATCCCTAAGTGACCTGTTTGCCCACGCACGCACGCACGCGCACGCGCACGCGCACGCGCACACGCACACGCACACGCACACGCACACGCACACGCACACGCACACGCACACGCACACGCACACGCACACGCACACGCACACGCACACGCACACGCACACACCCACACACCCACACACCCACACACCCACACACCCACACACCCACACACCCACAACCACACACCCACAAACACACACACACACACCCACAAACACACACACACACAGACACAGACACACACACACATGCATCGATTGTTATGATTCTTATTATTTCTGCTTCTTGTTCCTTTCGACGTGGATACCCCATTCAAGCTGATTCATTGTTATGTGCGGGGCTGGTTTTCCTTGTTTGCCTTTTGGCTGTGGGCAATGTTTGGTTGACATGTTTGGCATGATTTTTCGTGCTGCTTGATTCGCATTGATTCGTATTGATTGCTTTGATGTTGTTTTGCTTATTCGAGATGTTACAACTTGATTAGCAAAGGGGGCCCCCCACCCACCCCGAACAATGGAGGTGCTAAAATACTGGCCGCAAATTGCGCGGCGCTCAGATTCTTTGATTCTTTTGCCAAAGCTGGCTGCAACGAAGTATCAGCTGCCGTGCTTTTCAGAGGTCACTTGCCGTCCGGCGCTTCACCTGCGCTGAGGCGTCATCTCAACGGGCGCTGCCATTCGCGTGGCGCTGCTTTGCCTCTTGGGACTCAATGCAAGGATGTGTTTCCCCCCTGATCGTGTGATATCGTGTGTGTGCCAACATACGGGGAAAAACAACATCTGTGCTTTGTGTTGGTTTCCCTTTAAGCCCCAGCCAAAAGATATAAGAGTCATCCTGCCATGCTCAAATACCATTGCTGATTTGAGAGATCAAGATGAGTAGATTCCATTTGGTTTCCCTTTCCCACCATATCCCAGCTCAGTACCTGAGGACCCTCACAGCAAGCGCGTCCGTTGGCTGTGCCCGAGAACCGGTTGGCCACTCCAAGCGACCAAAGCAACCCGCGTCCCGAAGAAGAATGGCAATGACCTTTGGAAGCTGCAGGTGAGCTATGGAATTGAATCCCGGTCCCTTTTCAGTCACTTTTCTGCAACATGTGCCTTGCCTGGTTTGCTTTTCTTGGGCGGAATGGCCGAAAAATATGTCGGCATTTGTTGATGCTTGTATCACACACACACACACACATGAACGGAATGGTGGCTTGCCAAGATATCAAGCATTGACCCCCAGCGAGGGGGGGCTGACACTTGAGAAGGAGCATTTGTTGGGCTCCACACCTTGCCAGCATTCGTTGTATGAGCCACAATCCAAACCCGGGTAGATGAAGCTTGGTAAGGGATAAACCCAGCCATAAATGGGTGCAGCCGCCGTTGTCATTTTTTACATGGTTCTGGGTAGACCATTCTAATACTGTGGTTTGATTATGACTCATGTCTTGAACATCCGATCATCAGACCACAAATTGCAAAGGCATCCTTTTTAGGCTAGACCAGGTTTGCTTTGTATCAGTTTAGAGCAGCCCCCCCCCCCCTCGCGATGTGAAACATTCATGTACATATATCCTTTGGTTCCTCCTTCCAGTGTCCAAGAATTGCGTTGGTTTCCGAAACTAGGGCTTCTTCAGATGGTATGTAGTTTCCCGCAGCATTAGTTCGTGGGCTCGTGGACATAAGCATCAACTAGGTCGCCCTTTGGTTTTATACTGAATCTTTTACTAAGTCCAAACATGGCTGATACCCCGGTAAGTAGCAACACGCAACTTTTTGCCGGTGATCATTTGAACCAACCCAAATGAGGTTGGGCCGATTGTTTTTCAAGCCTCATGGCCAGTCCTCCCGTGCGAGGTGGCGCCACCAGCGCCGTGGAGGATGCAAAGTTGGTGCAGCGCGGTGCTGCGCACACCCGCAGGCGCGGGGAAGTTCTATCGAGCAATCAACATGCCCTGGGAGTCACCGACATGTTTCAGTTTAAATCCAGCATGGGGGATCACCAGTCACCAGTGGTCACCAGTGGTGCCCAGTGGTGCCCACTGGTCCCCACTGGTCCTCGCTGATCACGACTGATCACCACTGGATAGCACTGGTCACCACTGGTCACTGGCCACCGGCGACTGCTCCCCACTAGATACTAGTGGTAATGTTTGGTTGCCACTGGTTGCCACCGGTCCCCGATCACCGGTGGTCACCACTGGTTACAAGAGGTCCGCAGGTCCGAGTGCTTTCAGTCGCGAGGCCCAAAGCCTCAGCGCTGGGCTGGGTGGGCCTTCCAGAGGCCTCCAGCGCTGCTGCCCGGGGCTCGGTTAAAACATCAGGCGCTGAGACTTAGGAAGTGGAAGGCGAGCCCTGCCCAGTGGGTTGCTCCCTTTTTGGTTCCGCGCCATCAAACCAGAGAAATGCGGAAGCCCGGAATTCCATGTATCTCTGTTGCCCAGTGGGTCGCTTCCTTTTTTCCAGTTTTCCAGTTTTCCAGTTTGCCCAGTGGGTTGCCCAGTTGCCGAGTGGGTTGCGAACCCAGTTGCGCACCTTTTGTGAGACATTGGAATTCCAACAGCTTGCCAACATGCCTTCCTTCATCGTCGTTTTGAAGTGGCATCATACATGTATACATGTACATCAACGTTCGTCCATTTAAGTTGGCATGCTATGGCCACGGTCAAACCTGGCACGGGTGATCGCAACATTTCCCTCGCTGAAGTCGCAATCGCCTACCCCAAGGGTCGCTGGGTAGCTCAACATCTCTGTACTTCACCTGCCTAGGTCCCCCAGTGCCCTTTTACCCTCTTTTTGGGGAGGGTTCCCCTACTAAGGTACCAACTTTTTCTAACCTCTCTATTGGAGGACCTAGCTGCGGACCCTCGCATCAGAGAACGTTTATACGATCCAGGATCGGTGCTATGGCACCGTTTCGGCTGAGGTCTGCATCAGCATCAGGCCCAGCAAGGCCGCGATTTTGCGGTGCCCACCCGCCACCCGCCCTTCCAAACCCCGGTGTTTTTGTGTGGGGCGAACAAGGCTTCCCAGCCTCGTTTTTTTGGTCACGAGCCAAAGAACATGAGGGGACACCTCACCTTGCGGAAGAACCTTGGCAAACATCCCACCGCTTCCCGAGGATCGCCTTTTACCGGGCTTCGGTTTAAAAGTTTAGCTAAGTTCACACGTGAGACTGTTCACCGCGGCGCGCTCCCCAAAAGGGGCCGTTGGATTCTTGGATTCCTTTTCCCAGACAGCTGCAGTTGGCACCACTACTTCCATTTGCTGCAGCGCATGTTGTGTATTTGCTCTCTGTTGTTTTGTGGTTTCCAGTGGACTTAAGCAAATGGAGGCATAGCATTAAGACTTTCACTGAGGCAATAACTGGGAAGTACAAAAAAGATACAAAAAACAAACAAAAAACAAAAACAATACAAACCAAAAATACACACTGAAAAACAAAACAAAACAATAAAAAACACCCCGGGGAAAAACCAAAACAAAAAAACAGAAAACAAACAGACAAAAAACAGAAAACAAACAACACGCATGCACAGAAAAAGGGAAACAGGGATGCCTGGTGTGCCCCTGAAGTGTCACGGGCGGCATTTTGTTTTTTATTTGTTCTTTTGTTGTTTTTTTTTGTTTTTTGTTTGTTCTTTTCTTTGTTTTTCCTCGTGTTTTTGCACATTTTGGATGCCTGGTCTGCCCCTGAAGTGTCCCGGGCTGCATTTTGTTGTTTATTTGTTCTTTGTTTGTTCTTTTTTTTGTTTTTTGTCCTCGTGTTTTTGCACATTTTGGATGCCTGGTCTGCCCCTGAAGTGTCCCGGGCTGCATGTTGTTGTTTATTTGTTCTTTTTTTTGGGGGGGTTTTCTTCCTCGTGTTTTTGCACATTTTAGATGCCTGGTCTGCCCCTGAAGTGTCCCGGGCTGCATTTTGTTGTTTATTTGTTCTTTTTTTGTTTTGTTCCTCGTGTTTTTACACATTTTGCATGCCTGGTCTGCCCCTGAAGTGTCCCGTGCTGCATTTTGTTGATGATTTGTTCTTTTTTTGTTTTTTTCCTTGTGTTTTTACACATTTGCATGCTTGGTCTGCCCCTGAAGTGTCCCGGGCTGCATGTTGTTCCTTTTTTGTTCTTTTTTTGTTTTTGTCCTTGTGTTTTTGCACATTTTGGATGCCTGGTCTGCCCCTGAAGTGTCCCGGGCTGCATTTTGTTTCTTATTTGTTCTTTGTTTGTTCTTTGTTTGTTCTTTTGTTGTTTTTTTCCTCGTGTTTTTGCACATTTTGCATGCTTGGTCTGCCCCTGAAGTGTCCCGGGCTGCATTTTGTTTTTTATTTGTTTTTTGTTTGTTCTTTTTTTTTTCCCTGTGTTTTGCACATTTTGGATACCTGGTCTGCCCCTGAAGGGTTTCTGGCTGCAGTTTTTTTTTTTTTTTTGGGTTTTTTTTTTTTTTTTTCTGTTGTTTGTTTATTTCCGCGTCTGTATTTTTATCTTTTTGCTGATTTTCAGTGATTGCCTATCTCTGAGGGTCATAAGCATAGCACTCAAAATAGGGGACCCTCGCGAAAAAGGGCTTCAGCTTCCATGTCACTTCCCTTCGCAACCACCGCAAGAAGGGCACCCTCAAAGAAGCACACTCATTTGGACAAACCCTATGCTTGGACGGTTGAGGTTGCTATGTGTTTACAGATTCGGGGAGCTTGAAACGACAGTGCCACGGGGCTCTCTGATTCATCTTCTGATGAGCCAACGACCCTGCATGTTGAGCAGCTTAGACCAGGGAAAGGCCGGCATCCTGGACCATGTTCCCATTTTTGTGGAAGCTGTGGGCCCATGTGAAGCCACTCCTGATAAACATTTCTTTGAACGCAGCCCGTGTTAAACCTGGAAAACCTCTATGTAGAGCCACAGGCAAAAAATGGTGCTTGGCTCGCTTGACACCCAAACTTGATGTCTGGAACTGCGCTTTGTGCAGTTTCGTAATGTGATTCAGTGGGCAAATGGGGTACAGTCTATGTCTAGAATCGTGGTAGTGGTTACCTTGCCGTGCCCCCATAGCAGAATGAAACTACAGTAATGCTGACCCCGGATTAATAAACCTCTGGTTGATTAATATGAGGGTGTTCCTGGTTTTAGTGGGGATTTATCACTTTTGGAGGGACACCCCCTTATTAATAAACAGGGGTTTATTAATCCGGGGTCAACATTACTAAATATGAATTATGTAGCTTCCTGTGGCTTGTTCAAGGGAATTGTCAGATATCCTTTTGATTTGAGGCATGAGCCAGGGTACCACTGGGCATCCCAACAAAGGAAGTCCCCTTTTTGGAAATTTTGAGGGCGAACCCGCAGAATGAGGGATTCCCTTCTAATGCTGACCCCGGCTTAATAAACCCCAGTTTGTTATTAGGGGGCTGTCCCTGGGTTTAGTGGGGATTCATCAGTTTTGGCGGCGAACCCCCCGATATTAATAAACAGGGGTTAATTACTCTGGGTCAACATTATGCATTTTAGAGTCCAGGTGGAATCCAGCGGCGTGAAACGGCAGAAGACCGGTGCGGACACGGTGCGGATGCGCCACATCTTGCTGCGACATCATCAGGTGAAGCAGGCAGGGCTCTTGGAATTGGACATGTTGTGATTTTCTGAAGCGGTTACGTGGTTTGGTGGTTGTTGAAGGT